GGCGCGTATATAGCGGTTAGCTCACCTGGCGCGTATATAGCGGTAAGCTCACTGGCGCGTATATAGCGGTTAGCTCACTGGCGCGTATATAGCGGTTAGCTCACCTGGCGCGTATATAGCGGTAAGCTCACTGGCGCGTATATAGCGGTTAGCTCACTGGCGCATACATAGCGGTTAGCTCACCTGGCGCGTATATAGCGGTTAGCTCACTGGCGCATACATAGCGGTTAGCTCATTGGCGCGTATATAGCGGTTAGCTCACCTGGCGCGTATACAACTTAGTCGCCGGAGCTTGTCAGGAATCGCCTGCTCTGTCAGGTATGCATACATTGGCACGGCTTTGCTGCTCAATGTTAATATCTGGAATTTCTGACTGGCCTGCTGCTTTTGCACACTTTTGCACACTCAAGAGTTATGTACAAGATATTCTATAAAAAAATCACATTTACATTTTGATCCAAAATCACCTCTTGACGGGCACGGGTGGGAAATAACTGGTCCTAAAGGAGCAGTATCAAAGCCTTGTTTCACTTTTCAGGCCAGCTGACCTTTGCAGGGTCGCTCTTGTCCTCAACACAGAACACGTACAATCGGTGTAGTGGTCTTTCAGAGAGCACTCCCTTGTCCGTGCTGATTTGATACTGCTCTTCGGTTGGTTGACACGTTTCTGTAACATTCATCAGTTCAGAACCATCAACATTGACATTGAGATTGTGTCCAAGATCATTTGCTCGTTTAGGAAGACTGCTTCATGTCTTGCTTCATGCCTTGCTTCTCAGCCATGCTTCACAGCAGGATCATCAGATAAACACTAATAGTGAGTGAGTTTAGTTTTACGCCGCACTCAGCAATATTCCAGCTTTATGGCGGCGGTCTGTAAATAATCGAGTCTTGACCAGACAATCCAGTGATCAACAGCATGAGCATCGATCTGCGCAATTGGGAACCGATGACATGTGTCAACCAAGCCAGCGAGCCTGACCACCCGATCCCGTTAGTCGCCTCTTACGACAAGCATGGGTTACTGAAGGTTCATTCTAACCCGGACCATTATAATTCATAAACATTGAAGGAGTGAGTGTTGTGGGTGATATTGTCTGACATGATTCTTCGTGTGAGGGTGTCAATACCCTGCATTTCTTGCTCTGCTCAACAACAGCACCATAAGTATAAAAAGGACAGTCCATAAAAGCAAATGTTTCAGTGAGACAGAAAAGTAAGGGACAAAAGAACTGCTTGTAACGTGTTCAGTGACAGACAGAAAAGTAAAAAGGGACTAAAAAGAATCTCCAACCCTGTATTATACCTCTTGTAAAGGTATAGAATTCAGTTCCGAATGCTTGACCCACAAGTTCGTTCGTGAGGTACATGATCATACGATTTTCTGTTATCTATCCAAGACATTGATGGTTTTAAGTGGTACGTGTTTACTACTTTAAGGATCCGTTTTGAATCTTCAGATGATTCTTGAAACATCCCATTCCGGCTGCTTTCTGCTCCATGTGAACAGGATCATTGTAACTTCAGAAGGATGATCTGTAAGACCTGTAAATATTTCGTAATGTATATGCCTTTCTTTGGTAGAAGAATTGTTCACCCTTGAATCCATTGGAGAATTGAGTGAAATAATGGCGGTGTTACACAAGGAGACAGTGTTCAATACTTCTTTGAAATGCCATCAATCCCTGGCGCTCTATTAGAATTGGAATTAAGCTTGCCAGGCAGTCAGGTGTATTGAAGCACGACATTGGAATGGTAAACATACAGATGCATAATATTCGAGAGACATCGGCATTCGACTCATTGGGATTTGACTGTACTTAAAAGTCTGAGTGAAATACGTCACCAATACCTAATGGTATTAAAGACCCGCATAAAGACATAACTAAAAGGTAATTTTGGTGCTTGACTTTCTATTCCGCAGACAGGAGACTGAAAGATGTGATTGATTTAATGACTAAATAATTAAAGGCGTTACTATTTACTACTGCTAAGATGCAAGAAATAATTGGCCTTACTATCTCGACTGGTTAGGGTCGTCAAGTATCCATCGACTACATAATGTTAGTTACTAGACCGCCTGGCGAGTCTCGATTATCAATAGACAACTAGGTGGAATATAAATAGGTGAAATTAAAGATTTAACAACAGAAACTACCCATCCCTCGTAAATAAAACTAAAACACAAACCAAACACAAACCTGCAATTGTTTTGAACCGCCATAGAAGCTAGGTTGCAAACAGAAACAGGCGCAGTTCAAGAGAAAAGATCATATTCAGAGGAAATTTACGTGTTTCGTCTATTGTTTTGGTCAGTATTACTAATCAAACATAGACTTTCAACGTAGATATCCCGAAATGTGCATCTTGACTCATTATTGCCAGTTTATGTAAATCTATCAATCTCAGTGTTTGCCAAGTATACTAGGCACATAAAGAAACTGTGCATACAAAAACTTAAGATCTAAATTTATCAAACCTGTGTAGACACATAAGGATTTAAACTCAGAGATTAGTGACATGTATCCAACATGCATGAACGTGCCACGTTCCGTGACGTCAGTGGGTTCGTCCTTGAGACGTGCAATACGTTGTTGCACGTGCATTCCGGGAAAGAGAAACAGAGCAAATGAATGCCACACAATACTGTCACTGTGGAAAGCTCAACCCCTGCCCTTGCGATCGTTCAAAAAATTAAACGGCTATTGAAACGCATAGCATGCCAAGGTTCACGTCTGCACAACGTCATGAGGCCATTGGGATGGTCCGTGGGGGAATGTCTCAACAACAAGTGGCTGCACATTTCCACTGCCACCGGAACACCATTTCTGCACTGGTGAGACGCTACCAGAACACAAATGACGTCATCGATCGTCCACGTTCTGGACGTCCACGTGTAACAACGCCAAGACAGGACAAATGGATAAGGGTGACCCATCTTCGCCACAGGTTTCAGACTGCAGTGATGACTGCCCGAACCATCCCAGGACTTCGCCGTATCCACCCCAACACAGTTCGACAACGTTTACGTCATCACGGGATCAGACCACGACGTCCCGCCATACGGCCTATCCTGACACAACGTCATCGACAAGCTCGCCGAATGTGGTGCCGAAATCATGTCCGCAGACCCTTGTTTTGGTGGAGAAATGTTGTTTTTACAGATGAGTCCAGGTTTAACATTTCCCATAGTGATGGACGTCAACGTGCCTATAGACGCGTGGGAGAACATTATGCACAGGCCTGTGTCTTGGAGGAATCGCTTTGGTGGTGGTTCCGTGATGATTTTGGGTGGAATAACAGCACGCCAAAGAACTCCTTTGGTGATTGTTCAGGGCAACTTAACTGGTGTGGGCTACAGGGATCAGATTCTTCGACCTGTGGCAATTCCTTTTCTGCAACGTCATGGCCCTGGGTGAACATTCCAACAGGACAATGCCCGCCCTCATACGGCAAGGGTTGCTATGGATTTCTTGCAACACCACAACGTTGACTTACTGCCTTGGCCTGCAAATTCACCGGATCTCTCCCCGATAGAGCATGTTTGGGACGAGATGGATCGACGTCTCCGCCGTCTTCCTCATCCGCCAGATAACGTCCTTGACCTTGCAACAGAACTTGAGAGAATCTGGCGTGACATCCCACAAGCCTTCCTTGCACGTTTGATAGGCTCTATGCGTCGTCGATGCACTGCTGTTCTCAATGCCGATGGTGGACATACCCGTTATTGACCTTGTGACATGGTCGTTTGACCCTGTCCCGCTTGTGGACTCGTGACGTCATTGTGATTGACTTTTCAATTGAAATTCTCCCGACTTGTTATGGTCTCATGATCCCTCCATTAAAGTTTATATGTACCTTTGACATTGTTATCGTACTTTTCAACTGGGATAATATTTTGACAATGCACAGTTTCTTTATGTGGCTAGTATTCATACATGTTATAGGGCTGAATGGTTTAGGAGAAAACACATCGCCTTTCTTTGGTAGAAGTATTGTTCAACCTTGAATCCATTGGAGAATTGAGTGAAATAATGGCGGTGTTACACAAGGAGATAGTGTTCAATACTTCTTTGAAATGCCATCAATCCCTGGCGCTCTATTAGAATTGGAATTAAGCTTGCCAGGCAGTCAGGTGTATTGATTGAAGCACGACATTGGAGTGGTAAAATACTTAAAAGTCTGAGTGAAATACGTCACCAATACTAATAATATTGAAGACCCGCAAAAGACATAACTAAAAGTAATTTTGGTGCTTGAATTTCTATTCCGCAGACAGGAGACTGAAAGAGGTGAATGGTTTGATGACTAAATAATTAAAGGCGTTACTATTGACTACTGCTAAAATGCAAGAAATAATTGGCCTTACTATCTCGACTGGATAGGGTCGTCAAGTATCCATCGACTACATAATGTTAGTTACTAGACCGCCTGGCGAGTCTCGATTATCAATAGACTGACTGACTGAGTTTGGAATATTCCAGCAACATCACGGCGGGGGACACCAGAAATGGGCTTCAAATGTGCCCATGTGGGGATTCGAAAGAGTTTGACGACAACGAAACTACCCATCCCCGATTATCAATAGACAACCAGGTGGAATATAAACAGGTGAAATAAAAGAGTTTAAAACAAAACTACCCATCCCCTCGTAAATAAAACTACTAAACAAAACCAAACACAAAACCGTCAATTGTTTTGAACCGCCATAGAAGCTAGGTTGCAAACAGAAACAGGCGCAGTTCAAGAAAAGATCATATTTAGAGGAAATTAACGTGTTTCGTGTATTGTTTTGGTTAGTATTACTAATCAAACATAGACTTTCAACGTAGATATCCCGAAATGTGCATCTTGAATCATTATTGCCATTTTATGTAAATCTATAAATCTCAGTGTTTGCCAAATACTATTTAGACCGTTACTAAGTTTTTGAATTATCCATCGCCCGACAACTGATATTTTACTTAGATACCGTTCATTATATATGGCTTTTGTTTTGGGTGTGTGTATGATGACGATTTTAAGTGGGGGTCACCAATTTTGTTTTGGGAGGTAGGGGAGGTCATCAATTTTGTACACATGCACTAGGGGTTGGTCATTGACATGTACATGACATGCAGGGTGATCATTTACTCTGTTCATAAATTGTAAGTGTGTGTGGTGTGTGTGTGTGACAACCGTGTGTGCGTGTGCGTGCGTGCGTGCGTGCGTGCGTGCATGTGTGTGAGAGATGTGAGAGAGTGAGAGAGAGAGTGAGAGAGAGACAGATCCTCATTGTACATGCTTCTTATTTATCGCCCGACAACTGATTACAGATTTTTCTATTGTTATTGCAGGGGAAAGCGGGTCCCTGCGGAGAACGCCCATGTGGCTCCAGTGGGATCTGCCTCCACACCAGGGGAGCCACCTCCTACATCTGCTTGCCAGGTAAACCCCCGCTGTATACTTACTGTTGTATGTATGTATACTCCGTGTTGAAGGTGTATTCAGTGTTGGAGGTATATTCAGTGTTGGAGGTATGTTTAGTGTTGGAGGTATATTCAGTGTTGGAGGTATATTCAGTGTTGGAGGAGGTATACTCGGTGTTAGAGGTATATTCAGTGTTGGAGGTATACTCAGTGTTGGAGGTATATTCAGTGTTGGAGGTATACTCAGTGTTGGAGGTATATTCAGTGTTGGAGGTATATTCAGTGTTGGAGGTATACTCAGTGTTGGAGGTATATTCAGTGTTGGAGGTATACTCAGTGTTGGAGGTATATTCAGTGTTGAAGGTATATTCAGTGTTGGAGGTATATTCAGTGTTGGAGGTATACTCAGTGTTGGAGGTATATTCAATCAGTCAGTCCAGTATGGGTCCTTATAATAAATAATGTGTGTGTGTGTGTGTGTGTGTGTGTGTGTGTTTTATGTATATTCAGTCAGTGCTTTATGTATCTTCATTCAGTGCTTTATGTATATTCATTCAGTGATTTATGTATATTCAGTCAGTGGTTTATGTATATTCAGTCAGTGGCTTATGCTTATTCAGTCAGTGCTTTATGTATATTCAGTCAGTGTTAAATGTATATTCAGTCAGTGGTTTATGTATATTCAGTCAGTGGCTTATGCTTATTCAGTCAGTGCTTTATGTATATTCAGTCAGTGTTAAATGTATTTTCAGTCAGTGGTTTATGTATATTCAGTCAGTGGTTTATGTATATTCAGTCAGTGTTAAATGTATATTCAGTCAGTGTTTAATGTATATTCAGTCAGTGTTAAATGTATATTCAGTCAGTGCTTTATGTATATTCAGTCAGTGTTAAATGTATATTCAGTCAGTACTTTAATGTATATTCAGTCAGTGTTTAATGTATATTCATTCAGTGCTTTATGTATATTCAGTCAGTGCTTTATGTATATTCAGTCAGTGCTTTATGTATATTCAGTCAGTGCTTTATGTATATTCAGTCAGTGTTAAATGTATATTCAGTCAGTACTTTAACGTATATTCAGTCAGTGTTTAATGTATATTCATTCAGTGCTTTATGTATATTCAGTCGGTGCTTTATGTATATTCAGTCAGTGCTTTATGTATATTCAGTCAGTGCTTTATGTATATTCATTCAGTGCTTTATGTATATTCAGTCAGTGTTTTATGTATATTCATTCAGTGATTTATGTATATTCAGTCAGTGGTTTATGTATATTCAGTCAGCCCAGTGTGTTGCTTCCTTGCAATAAGCAAATCTCTTTTGAAATAACTGCTTTAGTTCCGTCATTAACGTGTCCTCCTAAATGTTAGACGCCCCAAAAGTTAGACGCGTTAAAACAACAAAGGTTATGGTTGGTTGCACTGAGGTTCACTACACTGTTACCTTCGTTTATTAATGGACTAGTCCAAATGTTCTAATCCGAATATAAAGAGAAGAGATTATGGATAATGACAATGACTTTATTTTACATAAAACAAAATATGTTAATTCAACAAGATAATTTAAATGATTAATGGATGACTTTGTAATGACTTTATTTGGCATAAAATCAAAATAAGTTAATTAACAAGATAATTTAAATGGTCAATACAATCATTCAAGATTTAAGTTTTCACATCTTTCACATCATTCACGATACAGGCAAGAATGTCAACCAAGTCTGAGCAAATGCCCAACTGCATCGAGGAACTCCATGTCTGTCATCCCTCCTGCACGCAGTCTCTTTTTCAGACGCATCAGCCTGTTCTCAGTTTCCTAGTCTGTCTCACAATCCCTGAACCACATTATTTTCCCTACTGCCTAGCCCTCTCTGCAATGCTAAAGCCCTAAATAAAGCAAGTCTATATTTCCCCAGGTTCTGGTCTCCCTGGGGGTCCTTTTCAATTTAAATGAGCTTGTTTGTTACTATTGAACTCATATATATTCAGAGACTAAGCTGTAGACCCTCTTCCGCTTTGGGGAGCAGCACCAACGTTGGAGTTTGGCTCTCTCTGCCATCTCAATCTTCTTGATGATCTCTACAAATCCGTAGATGTTAGGTTTCGAAAACCCCTTTTGAAAATGACTTAAGACCACATTGAAAAAAAAATTGCGTTGGCGCAGCCAAGGGGGTTCAGGGGTTTTAACACCACCACCACACACACCCACCCCTTTCCAAATTCCTGGATCCGCCCATGATACATTATTTATTCAGCTAATTACATAGGTCATTTTGGTGGAAGAGTTCAAGTACACACATATACTGAGTTACATATCTGAGTTATATATACCATATACACTACATAGTAAGTGAATTAAAAGTTATAGTGCTGTATAATATTTTGAACTATGGGCAGCACAAGCAACACGGACTTTGTAAACACTGTGATGGGTCCGCCGTTGACAGCTCATTTAAATAATAAAACATTGACAGCTTTATAACAAAACTCATTTGGACTTTGTACTTAAAGGTGTATTAATTCAGGACTTAATATCGTCACTATATGGCTGGAATAATGACGATGTGACGTAAAACCAACTCAACTCAACTCAACTCATGTAACTCACCGCTCCAGTACATTGTTCCAATGGCTGGATACACAATTGGAATAATTTGACATCAAAAGAATAATACTGAGCCAAAATAACAGATAACTGATAAATAATAAATATGTTCGTTATGGTGTTGGTTATGTCTAGTAACGGAATGAGCTGCCGCAGAGAATCAAGTTATATAAAACTTGACTTACATTGAGTATATATGTAGAGATGATAATCACTGGAAGCGGTTTCTTTTAGAAATGAATTGGTGTAATGAGTTGAGACTGTCACTATTTGTTGAGTTATTCGATGCGCCGTTACCGTATAAAGTTGTTCTAACGTCGTATCCTTGAATATAAATATACACCGTAGTTCTTCAGTTTTGATAGTTCCTAAACGTAAAAAGGTAATGAATAACGACTTCGTTATAACAGGGTGACCTGGTAAAATGATTGAGAATATCTTTGCGTTCTACAGCTAATAATTTGAATGGAAGTTGGAGGGATTATGTCCAATTTTCAAAACAAACAACCTGTACTGTAAGTTTACAAAGTTTTAATCCGAGTACAGGAGTTTTCTCCAAATATCAAAACAAACAATGAATGATCACAAGATCCCCGATGCACTTGGCTTCTAATCATTATGGGTAGGTTCTGGGAGTCTCCCTTATTTCAAATAGTAGACAAACTGGGAGTAATCCCCTATACAGGTACAGTGCATAATTAAGTGTAGCGGTGCTCCATTATATGTTTATGTTCATGAGTAGTCAAACTGGGAGTAGTCATACTGGGAGTAGTCATACTGGGAGTAGTCATACTGGGAGTAGTCATACTGGGAGTAGTCAAACTGGGAGTAGTCATACTGGGAGAAGTCAAACTGGAGTAGTCAAACTGGGAGTAGTCATACTGGGAGTAGTCATACTGGGAGTAGTCAAACTGGGAGTAGTCATACTGGGAGAAGTCAAACTGGAGTAGTCAAACTTGGAGTAGTCATACTGGGAGTAGTCATACTGGGAGTAGTCAAACTGGGAGTAGTCATACTGGGAGTAGTCATACTGGGAGAAGTCAAACTGGGAGTAGTCATACTGGGAGTAGTCAAACTTGGAGAAGTCAAACTGGGAGTAGTCATACTGGGAGTAGTCAAACTTGGAGTAGTCATACTGGGAGTAGTCAAACTGGGAGTAGTCATACTGGGAGTAGTCAAACTGGGAGTAGTCAAACTGGGAGTAGTCATACTGGGAGTAGTCAAACTGGGAGTAGTCAAACTGGGAGTAGTCATACTGGGAGTAGTCAAACTGGGAGTAGTCATACTGGGAGTAGTCAAACTGGGAGTAGTCATACTGGGAGTAGTCATACTGGGAGTAGTCATACTGGGAGTAGTCATACTGGGAGTAGTCAAACCGGAGTAGTCAAACTGGGAGTAGTCAAACTGGGAGTAGTCATACTGGGAGTAGTCATACTGGGAGTAGTCATACTGGGAGTAGTCAAACTGGGAGTAGTCATACTGGGAGTAGTCAAACTGGGAGTAGTCATACTGGGAGTAGTCAAACTGGAGTAGTCAAACTGGGAGTAGTCATACTGGGAGTAGTCATACTGGGAGTAGTCAAACTGGGAGTAGTCATACTGGGAGTAGTCATACTGGGAGTAGTCATACTGGGAGTAGTCATACTGGGAGTAGTCATACTGGGAGTAGTCATACTGGGAGTAGTCAAACTGGGAGTAGTCATACTGGGAGTAGTCAAACTGGGAGTAGTCAAACTGGAGTAGTCAAACTGGGAGTAGTCATACTGGGAGTAGTCATACTGGGAGTAGTCAAACTGGGAGTAGTCATACTGGGAGTAGTCATACTGGGAGTAGTCATACTGGGAGTAGTCATACTGGGAGTAGTCAAACTGGGAGTAGTCATACTGGGAGTAGTCAAACTGGGAGTAGTCATACTGGGAGTAGTCATACTGGGAGTAGTCATACTGGGAGTAGTCAAACTGGGAGTAGTCAAACTGGGAGTAGTCATACTGGGAGTAGTCATACTGGGAGTAGTCATACTGGGAGTAGTCAAACTGGGAGTAGTCATACTGGGAGTAGTCAAACTGGGAGTAGTCATACAGGGAGTAGTCATACTGGGAGTAGTCAAACTGGGAGTAGTCATACTGGGAGTAGTCATACTGGGAGTAGTCATACTGGGAGTAGTCAAACTGGAGTAGTCAAACTGGGAGTAGTCATACTGGGAAGATAACCTTTTGGGACGTCTAACTTTTGGGAGTAAACCGTCATTATAATTATGAAGAAAATTGCATTGTCATTGCAGCGGATGGGATAAGTGGTGCATCGACCACCACTACATCAACGACCACTACAGCTACAACCACAACGGCTAGCAGTAGTGCTGCTACAACCGCGTCCTCTACAAGCACTAGCTCATCCACTACAACAACCTCTGCTACGACGACAACACCTAGTACAACAACGACTACGTCAACCACATCATCAACCACAACAACGACGACTACAACATCACCTTCAACGACAATAGGTTTGTTATAACCACAACGTTCTTGATACACAAGAACTCAGCGAATGATATGAGTTTCTAAAATGGCATTGTGTATTTAGTCCCCTCCCCCCTCTAAGATTACGATGACCGCACGTATCCACGTCACAGAGCCTGGCCACCAAATCCACTTTAGTCAACATTTACGTTGATTGATTGATTGAGTTTAGTTTTACGCCGCACTCAGCAATATTCCAGCTATATGACAGCGGTCTGTAAATAATCGAATCTGGACTGGACAATCCAGCAATAAACAACATGAGCATCGATCTACGCAACTGGGATACGATGACATGTGTCAAGTCAGCGAGCCTGACCACCTGATCCCGTTAGTCGCCTCTGACGACAAGCATGGGTTGCTGTCCAAAGATCAATTCAAACCCAGATCTTCACGGGTCGTCAATATTTACGACCAGTACAGGTTATGTAAATACATCAATCCCGGCCTCCAAAGGTTCTGTACACGTAGTTTGTGCAACAATGATAGAAACGAAAGAAAACCTTGTATGCTGTATTTTTTAAAAAAAATAAGTTATAATTAAATAAAAAATATAAAGATGTGTTGCTCATCCTTACTATATAAAATAATTTGTGTGATGGACAAATCATTATATGAGTTCTCTGTACACGAACAATGTGCGGAGTTGATGACCGCATGTCTTTTGCCCGTTGTTCGAGACATATTGCAGTTTGTGCGATGTACGCCAGCCGCTCGTATGATTTGTTCCCCTTGAACTGGGGCGGTGGGGTAGCCTCGCCTCGTGGTTAAAGCGTTCGCTCTTCACGCTGAAGACCAAGGTTCGATCCCCACATGGGTACAATGTGTGAAGCCCGTTTCTGGTGTCTCCCGTCGTGATTTTGCTGGAATATTGCCAAAAGCGGCGTAAAAAAAACTAAACTCACTCACTTACTCACTACCCCTGTATCAGGCCGCGGGTTAACTAGTACCTGCATCTATATTAACTGTTTATATTCACGGGAACGTAATGTGACAGTGGGTGAGTGAGTGAGTATGGTTTTACGCCGCTTTTGGCAATATTCCAGCTATATCACGGCGGGGACACCAGAAATGGGCTTCACACATTGTACCCATGTGGAGAATCGAACCAGGTCCCTCGGCGTGACGAGCGGACGCTTTTAACCACTGGGCTACCCCGCCGGCCGGAAATGTTATAGTGTTTATACCCTTATTAAAATGCCTCTCGTAATCCACCTTTTATTCCATTCAGGTCGCATGACGTTGGGGATGTCGTGCAATACCACCGCAGACTGCATCCTCACCAACGCCGAGTGTGACAATGGGGGATGTCGATGTGTGATGGGCTACCACTTCTCAAACACGAAACAAACATGCACCAAGTGTGAGTATGAGAAACGCAATTAGATGAACCAAAAGAGTATAACAGCTGAACGCCAGATACTAACCAGCGTAAATGGTGTATATAAATGGTGGTGAAATATATATAAATCATGTGCTAAAGCCCACGTCCATTGATCAAACACGCAAATAGTGTTTCAGTGTAAATAACAGAAAAATTATCACTGAACCTGAGAAACCAGTGGAAACCAAACATTCGACAGACATGCCCCCAATGTGAGTTGAGGTGAAATTGGGTTTAACGTCGTGCTTTGAGAATATTTCGCTCATATGACGACGTGCATGCGTGTGTATGTGTATGTGCGGCTGCTTGTACTAGCCCAGACTTAAGCTGGTTTTATAGTGCTAGCCCACTGAGATACCATGCCGCAGTGAAGCATGAATACCCCACTCAGACACATTATACTGACTCCAACCGACCAGTCCTTGTTGTACCCATTAATGCCGAGCGTGAGGCAGGGACCAACAAGTACCATATTTTAACGTCTTTTGGTATGACGCTGCTCCCAATGTGAATGACATGAAAACCATTACTAAATCAACTGAAAGCAGTTCTCAACCATTCGACACGTATCAAACATGTTGCTATGGTGATATTCAGTGAATTAAAACCATTACTACGCCAACCGAAACCACTTCTAAACCATTCGACAAGCATGCTGCCAGCGTAAATGACATAAAACTCATCATTTAACGAACTGAAACCACTTCTCAAACGTTCGACAAATGCGTCCCCAGTGTAAATAACATGAAAGTCATCACTGAACCAATCGAAACCAAAATTCAAACACGCACCAGACATGTTGCTATGGTGATATTCAATGAATTCTCAGTGTAGTTTCAACAACATGACATTGTTTCCATACCTTTCGTACTTTTGGAACAAACCACAGATGACAGGCAAAATGTACCTCGGATTTGTTTATTTTATGTTTTAATTCACATGAGAAGCACTGAAAACACTCTATGAACGCATAATCACACATTTGTGACAGTAAGATACATTTTTATGATAATGACTAAAATTGTTTATATTTCCAGCGTGCGACGAACTGGGTTCCGACTTTGTACTGTATCCTAAAACTGGCATCATGGGTTACAACGACGAATCTTACGACGTGTCCACCATCGACGCATGTAAACAAAAGTGCCTCAACAGTTCAAGTATGATCTGTAAAACGTTCGAGATTGTAGTTTCTTCTCCGTATAAGTGCCGACTCTCCACCGTCTACTGGTACGACGTGAGCAGCAGCGAGAGACTCAGCATTGACAGCGTCGACCTCTATTCTCGACAGTGCCAGTGATACATTGGCCAGTAGGAAACTCGCTCATGAGAACTTTTCACTATAACCGACATGGTAATTATTGTAACATATGTTATATTTGGGATTACACTTTCTTAGTAAAGTACAGATTCTAGTACTTTTTCCAGCCAAAAAGTACTAGAATCTGTACTTTACTAAGAAAGTGTAATCCCAAATATAACATATGTTACATTTGACCACTTTCTAAAATGGCATTGTTTATTTCATGGTAATTATTGTGTCTTACTTCTCAGGCTTTCAAGGCGTGTGCGTGCGTGCGTGCGTGCACGAGCGATAATAATAATAATATAATAATAAATGGATATTTCTTATGCGCCATAGTCCATCCAGAGCATGCTCAAAGCGCTACATATAAAAAGAGTCACTAGAGTTCAAGAGGAAGATATGACAATTCGTCAAAATGACCATGAGAATATTTCGCAGTTATAGGTTGTAGACTTTTTTGAAGAGGAAGGTTTTGAGTCCCGGTTTGAATGCTTCTAAGGATGAAGCATTTTTTTATGGGAGTACGAAGACTGTTCCATAGGGTTGGTGCTGCAAATTTGAATGACCTATGACCAAAGTGTTTGAGACGAACTTGGGGAACTGAGAGAAGATGTTGATTCTGAGAGCGGAGAGAACGGGCAGGCATATATGTTGACAACATCTCAGAGAGGTATGGAGGAGCTAGGCCGTGTTTGCAGCGGAAAACAAGAGTTGCGCCGAAAAAGACTCTCTTTCACATTTCGATAGATGCCATAGTTATAATATGTCTGGCTTCTCAGGCATTCAAGGTGTGTGTGTGGGGTGGGGTGCGTGCGTGAATGCGTGCGTGAGGCCACAGTTGTATTATGTCTGGCTTCTCAGGCCTTGAAGGTGTGTGTGTGTGGTGGTGGGGTGGGGGTGGTGGTGTGGGGGTTTGGTGCGTGCGTGCGTGCGTTCTCGTGTGTGCGATAGAGGTCATAGTTATTCCATTCATTACAGGTTGGACTATTTCCATAAGGACAGTGTAAGTCGGGTTTGACGCCTCTGTTAGAAATACCCAAGGAATACAATCTGTGAAGCCCATTTCTTGTGTCCTCCGCCGTAATATTGCTGGGATGTTGCTAATGTAAAACTAAACTCACTCACTCATTCTTACAGTGTCAGGTACCTCTAAATACTGTCTGATCAAAGAGGACTGATTATGAATGAAACTCCACTTGCTTCTTCAAGTATTGTGTAATTTTTCAACCAAAACGTCCGATCAATGACTCGTGTCATCTGTTCACGATGGGATTGATGGAGTAGCCTAGTGGTTAAAGCGTTTGCTCGTCACCCGGGTTCGATTCCCCACATGGGTACTATGTGTGAAGCCCATTGCTGGTGTCCCCCGGCGTACTATTGCTGGAATATTGCTAAAAGCGGCGCAAAATCATTACTCACTCACTCACTCTGTTCACAATGACACATAACAAATCAACAAACTCACGAAAGTGAAAGCAGCCTCTCGCATGGGATACCGAGAGTCTATTCTTTCTGGGGTGCATAGTACGCTAGTTTTATCTGGGCATACTTAGGATGCACAATCGAACATTCCCTTTCTACCAGGACTTTAAAGAAGGTCATACCCCTTTTGTTTGATTATGCTTAAAACTCCCATGCCTAAATAATGTAAAATGTTGATGGTAAACCAACCAAACATATAAAGGCGGTGTAAAACTAAACTCATTCACTCACTACCCGTGAATCAGGCGGCATAAAACTGAGCTCACTCACTCACTGATGACAACCATTTACGGCTGACCTATGAACTTTCATCCGACCTATCAATCGCTTATCAGATAGGTAAAGTGGCACATGGGTCTTATAATCATTCCACCGCCTCCTAGGTGTAGTGGTTAGAGCGTCCGTCCGGAGTACGGAAGGTCGCGGGTTCGATCCCCGACCGCGTCAAACCCAAAGACGTTAAAATATGGTACTTGTTGGTCCCTGCCTGGCGCTCGGCATTAATGGGTGCAACAAGGACTGATCGGCTCAGAGTCAGTATAATGTGTCTGAGTGTGGTATTCATGCTTCACTGCGGCATGGTATCTCAGTGGGCAAGCACTATAAAACCAGCTTCTGTCTGGGCTAGTACGGCCGCACATACACATACACACGCATGCACGTCGTCATATGAGCGAAATATTCTCAAGCACGACGTTAAACCCAATTTCACCTCACCTCACCTTATAATCATTCAACCGAGAAATTGTCAACACGAATTATTCCGAACGATATATTTGGGTTGTACGGATGATTCCGTCAAAATCTTTGTCTGTATCTCTCTTGTGGGGAATTGAACCCTGACCTTCGTGAGACTGAGCGAACGCTTTAACCACTAGGCTACCCTGCTGCAATGCCTTGACATTTCAGCAAGCGCAAGGTAGAAATCTTATTAATGCACTGGCATCCTTGAAATGTTTTCCATATTGATATACTAGTTGTAAAATCAGCCATACACGAAGTACTTAGTCCATTACATCGATGGTTTCTTTTAACACATATTTCAAGCCGTTTTGCCCGATGAACACGTCATTGATGTTCTAACGGGCAAGTATTTTATCCTTATGTCTAACGTAATTGTTAACGTTCGTATGGAAACGTTACAAGTATGTGAATAAATAAGTTTTCATCCTTACCAACTTCTTACTATCTAACCCAACAGAATGGTAAATCTCTTCTTTTTAACGATTATCTAAATCACTTTATCAAAACAAAACAGCAAATATTTGACTTCCGGGTTATTGATTAATTTCTTAAATGACTTGTTTACCACTGAATATCATATCTGGCCTTCCTCTAACAATTCTTGCTCTTTAAGTTTCGTAAGTACAATAAGCAATCGATGATTTTTATGAATATGATTAAACTTCCTGAGCGTAACACTACAAAGGTTTCGTCATCGATTTATATAACATTTGTTTACCGTACCTAGGTCTGAAAAATTATCTTATGCATCAAAGCAAAAATGTACGGAGTCACCGTTAACTTATCGTTCCATCATCATTTGAAAAAGAGAACTGGATCTGGTGGAAAATCGAAAAATCGACCCTATACTGTTCATTAGTATGAATGTACATGCTGAAGGATCATAATAATAAGCATAGTCCAGCTATGTTGTTGGCTCAATCAAGACACAGCTATTTATAACAGCCTGTGGACACGTGGGGTGATTGTATAACACATTGTTTTTCAGATTTTGTCTACCACTGTCTGTGACAGTTCAGTTTTGTACATGTGTTTAACACGTTCCTATTATGTAGTCAGTTGTTCAGTTAAATGTTCACCTTAAATAATTTAATGCATAAAGTTTGGTCGAAAATTTGTCACAATGATGATGGGGGGACACTGGGTTCCAACAGTGTAAATACACCAGCATGTGAGCAAAACATATAAAAGTGGAACTAGTGGACGGATATTGCAGTCGACCGAATACTTGTTTTCTTCTAAATTGTGTATGTGTGTTTGTAAATTGTGTTTGTAATATATCTCTTTGTCTGATGGACATAAAGCTTTATGCCTAATTGTATTGGGAAATTAATGCAATTGTAAATTTGTCCGCAATTGTTCGTCACACGATTTTGCATTTTATATGTATTTTACACATTTCCATTATGGTGTTGGTTGTCCAGTTTTGTTTTTTAACAAAACTCAGTAATTCATAAAACATGAAATTTGTCACAAAAAGAGACAATAAGAGGGAAACACTGACACGGAATTAACGTACTGAATACTCGTTGGCCAACAACTCGCCTGCGCTAGGTAACTCCCATTCTCTTCCCACAGAGGTTACTTGTCATATCTTCCTACGAACCTCTGTTCTAATACGGCCCTTTCATGGTGCGAGTGTTCAGGATTCGTGATTGGTTGCAATCAGATGTAGTTGTGCAATCAGCGACGTTGTTTCAAAAGTGATCATTCGCAAGGCCTCGGTAATTAATTGCCGCTAGGGGATTTTACGAGAATCGTAGGAAGATATGACAAGTAACCTCTGTGGGAAGAGAATGGGTAACTCCCAGCGAAACTTTTTATTTCTGAACGGGCCTGTGTAACTTTTTTGTCTTTGTGACTTTTTAAAGTTAAGCTCTGACTACATTTGGTCTGCCTTATCTTCAAATTCCTGATAAAATGTTCGTTTTTCAGTATTTTTAAATTCAGTATTTATAAGATGTAATCGCATGCTACAGATATTGCATTAAACTGTTGATTAAATATTTTGAGAGAAAACAATGTTTTAGGTTTTTTATGTCGTGAAACTGTTGCTGCAGTCTCTGTTATAATCTATACATAGATATTCCTATCGAATTGCATAACGATTTATGTTTACGTGAGGTTTACTTTAGAAGTGCACTTACAGAATGGCTTGTGAATTCATGTTTCAGAATCATAATCTGCTATTATCTTTACTTCGGTGAAAATAATCATCTCGTTGATCAGTGAAAATTAAATCAATTTGTTTGTACAGTATCAGTAACGATGGTATCACTACGGGATGAACTATGACAGTCACGGAACACGTGCCATTGTATCCTGGAGATTCTCAGTGAGATACGGGGCGGTGGGAGAGCCTAGTGGTTAAGGCGTTCGCTCGTCACGCCGAAGACCCGGGTTCGATTCCCCACATGGGTACAATGTGTTAAGCCCATTTCTGGTGTCCCCCGCCGTGATATTGCTGGAATATTGCTAAAAGCGGCGTAAAACCAAACTCACTCACTCACTCAGTGAGATACATTACCACAAACAAACTGTTTACAGTAGAACTCGGGGAAGTCTTATACACGGTGGGATATACACGTTTGGACCAAAACATTATTGCATTCTTCTTCTGGAAAAAAATAAAGTCGGGTCCATATTTTCATACACAAACTCCTTGAAGAAGAATGTCCAGGTTAATTTCTCTTTCGGAATTAACAGAGTCGAAATATTTTTCTGACTTCCTGTCTCAGAGTCACGTGCAACTACAATGTCGTGACGTCATTATAATGGTTTGATCTGTAGGAAGTTGTCGATAGGAACCCTATGAAAGGTAATATTGACAAGATTGGCACCTTCATGACAGGTCCTCTTTTTTATGCTACGAAGTGGGTCAAAGAACAATGATATAGCGAAAGAGTGAATGAGTTAATTTAGGTTTACGCCGTTTCAGCAATATCAAGGCGGGGGACACCAGAAATGGGCTTTCATTTCTACCCATGCGGGTAATCGAACCCGGGTCTTCGACATGGCGAACGAATGCTTTAACCACTAGGCTACGCCACCGCCCCTACAGCGAAAAGGGTTTTCTTCATCACTAAAGGGTACAAGCTATGATACGACCCCAATACCAGATCGTACGGTCCACCCGCCCTTTATAAGACATGACCAGTCACTAATGGCAGTGTTTAACTTTGTTTTTAGTTTGACATACGCATATCTGTAGAGCATCTTCCTTCAATACAGTATTCCTACGACAGTTTATCGTTTGGGAACGTAACAAAATCTCTTTTTTACAGTACCGTTGTGAAATTAGGATGACACACGCCCTCGATTGTTTGTTGTTTAACGCCGCACTCGGCAATATTCCAGCTATATGGTGTCAATCTGAAAATAATTGCGTCTGGACCAGACAGTGCAGTGATCAACACCATGAGTATCGATCTACCAATTATGATACGATGACCAGTGTCAACCAAGTCAGCGAGCCTGACCACCCGATCCCGACAGCCGCCTCTTACGTCAAGCATGGGTTACTAATGATCAACCCGTGAAGATCCGGGGTAGAATAGGTCTTCAGCAACCCATGCTTGCCCTAAAAGGCGACTTTGCTTGTCGTAAGAGGCGACTAACGGGATCGGGTGGTCAGGTTCGCTGACTTGGTTGACACATGTCATCGGTTCCCAATTGCGCAGATCGATGCTCATGCTGTTGATCACTGTTATTTACAGACCGCCGCCATATAGCTGGAATATTGCTGAGTGCGGCGTAAAACTAAACTCACTCACTCACTCACTCACCAATGATCAATTCCTAAAACGGATCTTCACGGGTCTCACACTTTAGAAGTGAGTGAGTTTAGTTTTACGCCGCATTTTAGCAATATTCCTGACATATCACGGCGGGGGGACAACAAAAAATGCTTTAACCACTAGGCTGCCTCACCGCCCCTCACGCTTTAGAAACCCCAGTGCATTACTGAAGTCGTCAGCACTGTACGTGCCGTGCAGTTCTCGCGCCATTTCGCCTGTACAGTAATGCTGAACACACGACTCAGGCTCCCACCGGAAGTGACTGGTAGTCATTCAGAAGTCCCTTGTCGAGGTTCGGGATACTCGAGAGACTAACAGTAAATAACCATGTCTGCCGCCTCACCTTAAATGTACCAGAGAACACGAGTTCACGTGAAACACGATTCGGGGAATATCTTTTTTTCCAGAACATGAACATTCGGATTTGCTGTACGTGTGTTTACCGAGATGTGCTTGGTATGTTTAGTATGTGCCAATATATGTGTGTATTGGCCGAGAGAATGTTCGTAATGATACGTAAGGGAAATTCGGTTCTACTCGGGTTATTCCGGTATCTACATAAACCTGGCAGTTGTGGAGTAGTAATATCACATGACTGCACATCGTATACCGATTCCTCCCCACATAAACTGAGGGAAACATATAAGGGAACACGGGGAAGTACAAGCGTTCCTTTATTCTTTTCCAGGTTTCTTCACAAGCTTTGTATTGCACTATGGGAGAATAAATAGAGGAACGCTGCGATGAAGTGGTGTTCCCTTATTTGTTTCACTCAGTATATGTCGTGCAACAAGAAGACGACTGATACAGAGGACACATTTTATTGTTATTGCATAATGTACAATGCAAATTGATATATGGAGTATTTCTTTGCGGGGAGGTGGTGTAGCTAAATTGTAAACGCGTTTGCTCGTCCGGTTGGTCCGGGTTCGATTCCTCACATGAAGGTAATTCCTTGTGTCCTTCGCTGCGTTTTGGTGGAATGTTGTTTAAAGTGGCGTAAAACACGACTCACTCGCTCACATATTTCTGTATGACGGTGAGTGTCGCCAGGTGGCGTTATTCAAGGTCAAGGGAACCATTTTCAGAATGGATTCCTCCCAAAGATGTCCGAGAAGACATTTTGGAATGGTAGGTTGGTTGGTAGGGTGGTTGGTTAACGCCGCACTCAGCAATGTTACAGCTATATGGCGGCGGTGTGTAAATAATTGAATTTGGACTAGACAATCCAATGATCGACATCATGAGCATCATTCTATGCAATTGGGAAACTGCATAACATGATTATTTGCATAATGTTTCAAAGAGCAACCATATGTTCATATAACTATTGAATTTCTAATATCTTCTTTGTCGAGCATAATACATAATTTGTATTCCTAATATATGATATTACTGATAGGGAAACACACGAGGTTAATAATCTCTTTATCATATAATGTCATTCTTAAAATTACTCTAAAAAAGAAGCAAATCGTACGTGAATTTATTTGAAGAGAATCGAACATTCGCGTAAGAATACTTAGACCAAGGTGAAGGTCGTTCATGACGGCAACATGTTGTGACTAGTCGCTAATACAGTGCAAACAACTCATGCTTAAAATAAGATCTTTCTTTCTAAAAGGAACAACAAAATCAGGCAGTATTTTCCTGCCAGTGTTTCTATTTTCATTGCGGGTAATCACCTCATCAATATCAGTTTCTGATACCTGACGGAATCGATTCGTCGTCTGTATTGTGATCGATAGATCGAAATCCTTGGCTGGTACCTTTCTTAGACGATTGCAGGGGCGGATACAGCTTTTTGAGAGGGGGGGGTGCACACTATTGAGAAAAGGGAGGGTGCACACTTCATTTTCAACCGAGTTTCAATGGTCATTTAATAAACTTTCAGGACAAAAAGGTTGGGGTGGTGGTGCGCACCTCTGCACACACACACACACACACACACACACACACACACACACACACACACACACACACACACACACACACACACACACACACACACAAACACACACACACACACACACACACACACACACACACACACACACACACACACTAACACTACTCTGGATCCGCCTATGGATTGCCTTTCAGTCGTGCCTCAGAATCACCTATTTTGAGAATGGGGGCAGCCATGTTTGTTTACAAACTATGTAAACTCGCGACGACGTCATCAATGAAATATTAAAAACGTTTTGGGATTCGCATGGCGGGTATGGAGTTTTGTGAAAGTAGTGTGTGGATTGACGTAATTTGCATAGTTATCAGATTTGTATACCAAGTTTATCAGATTGCTTTATTGCACCGATAACAATCTCCATTAGATGATAAACATGTATACGTTCTGTTGTCTCCAACAGTGAAGTGAAAGGGAAGTAACTCACTGCAGTGTCGTGTGCTAGAATTGTTTCAGCAAACCGAACGATTCACTATCCGAACATTTTGGATGAAAAACGGCACTGTTCGGATTATCGCGGCCTGACTGTATCTATTGACAAGAAAACAGCGTTTGCATGGCGGAATTCTATTCAGGAGAGACATGCATGGGCACATGGTGTTTTGTCTGGGCGCATCTGGCATAATTTGTTAAGATGCGTGCTCACGGTGCCACTTGTTGCAATAACCTGTATTGTCGACAATAAAAGTCGTTAAGATCTTGGTTTGTGGGTAGTTTTAAAGTCACATAGAAGTCGTTTCTCGCGAGATTATCACGCAAGACTCAGTAACAACGATTCATTATGGGAAGAAGAGAAGCTGGTGTTAATGTATTTGTCAGCAAGGAATAATGGCCTAAATCGGCGTGGATTCCCAGACGAAACACGGCTGTAATTCGCTGTTTTGAGAGCTAGAGCAGGGCGATTCCAGGTCTTCGAAGAGTTGTCTCCGTATGGAAAAGACACATTTTTAACCGTTTAGTTTCTAGTGTTGGGAATTGGTTGAAATCTCACAATTGATGATTGCTTCATTACCAACGAACAATCATCGACAAAAATTGGTTAGCGTCATTTTCAGATTTTCCTATCCAGGTTGTTATTGCAGATATGTATAACATGATGCAACTTGCTACTTTAAAGTGATGACTAATATATCATGAACATAAACTTCCCGGAGTCTTCAAGAAATATTCAGTCTTTGTTTTTCAGTTAGTGAAGTGAGTTTTCTAAGAATTAAACACGTTTTCAGGCCCTGACAACCTCAACGATATGTTCCATTGTCAAGTATTTCAAAGACTAAAACAGTAGTTCCAAAATCGTTTATGTTCGATTATGAGAAATGTGATCGTTTGCTTGGTCGTTTGGTCACTGCGACCAATCTTCGATTATTTAAATTAATCGGAACACCACTATTAGTTTCTTCTCTGTGAGACCACAAGACACACAAAGGGACGTCACTTCCAGGTGCACATCGATCTAAGCGGTTTGATTGGTGGAATGCTTGCGACTCGTAGTACTCAAGTCCTATGTCTCACAAATCGGCTGCATCTTGTTGTATGTGATTTAAATGAGGTGAAGTGAAATGGGGTTTAACGTCGCTTAAGAATATTTCGCTCATATGACGACGTGCATGCGTGTGTATGTGTGGCTGCATGTACTAGCCCAGACTTAAGCTGGTTTTATAGTGCTAGCCCACTGAGATACCATGCCACAGTGAAGCATGAATACCCCACTCAGACACATTATACTGACTCCGAGCCGACCAGTCCTTGTACTCAAATTAATGCCGAGCGCCAGGCAGGGACCAACAAGTACCATATTTTGGTATGAGGCGGTCGGGGATCGAACCCGCGACCTTCAGTTCTCCGTATGCGATCTAAAACCGTTACGATAAGGGTGTTCTGGCGTTGCATGCTACAGGTTGGCACCGTGAGAACGTACCTTTACTGGGAGAGGAACATCCCAAACCAATGAAACACAGCGTATGGTCGGGATAAAAGCTTTTTTTTAAGGTACTAAATTTCACTTGTCCTGTGTCGCTCATCAAGAGAGTGATGCAAACAGATCTGTCGAGTAAGCTCACCTTGATAAACCGAAACAATGTTGTATCACAGTGCTGAACATACTATAAATGGCGACAGTCGTTGTGAAGCGACTACCAGTTTCGGGGTAATGCAAGGAGGCTGTGTCTAATGGTGTTTATACTTTCTCACATATACAGTGACATTAGTATGAATGAATACAAGTCTTACTTGATCTTTTTGACAGTCTATTCCTCGCAATTTCGAATGTCCAGATATCTCGAAGTTATATACGGCCACGCTTAGTTCGAGTCACCGTGTACCCACAACACCATGTTCGAGGTTTCAATAATCATTTGGTTCTCGACATCAGTATATATGAAATCTAAACTAACATGTTTGGGGAGATCAAACCCTTGCCGCTCAGTTGGGACCATGGATCATATCGTAAATGATGGTAAATTCGAGACAATTGGGTTGCCAGAGGCGAAAAGGTAACAACATTTGAACAGTAATATTTATCACGTAATTAAACATTTTCATTTCTAACATACCACAAACTGGAGATATTTAACTGTGTATAAGAAAGAAATATTGAATGAGTGTTTGACAATATGGTGTTTACTATGTTTTAAGGTATGGTGATTTTCCGAGCGCTTCAACTACTGCTGAGTTCGCACTGTGAGAAATGTATACGGGAGAAAAACGAAATAATTAACCTATCTATGTCACTGTATATATGGTGTAATAACAGCAGCAATTATGATTATCATAAACATAAAGTAAAACTAGGTAGCACAATTAATTCCTACTATATATCTTCCAACAGGTTTGCGATTCTGAACTGCAAAGCCAACACTTGCATGTCCTTGAGTAATGATCGCAATAAAATATAGTGCAATCACCGGTTCATCAGTTAAATGTACTGCATACAGATGAATACTTTAAAACAAGTTGAACTAAAATATGAAGTCTGAGAAGCACGCAAACCCAAGGTAATTGGACATTGTCCGGCGTCAATAAGTTTCAGCTACACTTCCACACACCAGTCACATATTGTTTTGTTCACTGTATGTCAAGGACGCTGAACGTCGTTCAAGGTCGTCATTAGTCCATCACGACGTTCTCTAGTCTACGCAGCACAGGCCATCCAGGACACCTCAACCCTGTATAGCCTCGTGTTGTACCAGCCATCACACGCCAGGGTGAAGCCCTTGGAGTTGAGACCCATGACCCGCACCCTGGCCCTGGTGTTGAAGCGGTAGTTGACGTCAAGTTGCGCCATGCCGTAAGAAATTTCAGGACGTCGGGAAAACGGCTCTGCGAACTTGACGACGTGTGTCTGAGGCCATTTTCCGTAGGAGAATGGGTAGTTCATGAACAGCCATCGCCCGGATTCACCTGGAAGAAGAGAGGTTTGATTACAAGTGAGTGAGTTTAGTTTTACGCCGCTTTTAACAATATTCCAGCAATATCACTGCGGGGTTTCATACATTGTACCCATGTGGAGAATCGAACCAGGGTATTCGGCGTGACGAGCGAACGCTTTAACCACTAGGCTACCCAACCACCCCTTTGATTACAAAGTGGGCGAAGGTCCCCATAGGAACATATAAGGGGCTGGTTTTAACGTCGCGTTCAAGGTCATTGCACGGACGTAGCGACGTGCATACAGATTTGTGCGGCTACTTGTACAAATACAGACTGTAGCCAGTTGCATAGCAACAGCCCACGGAGCCCACTGATACTGAGCCTCAGGTTTAATACCGGTACCCCACTCAGATACAGTATACTGACCCCGAGCCCACCGGTCCTTGTTGTATCTCCTAAGATCGAGAGCCAGACAATGTAATAACAAGCATCATCATTTATCGTCCTTTGGTATGACACTTCCGGGCATCGACCCTATTGTACTCACTTCAGACGCGCTATTTTCCTTTGAGACGTATCGGGCGAATCAGGTGGTCAGGCTTGCTGACTTAGTTGACATATGTCATCGAATCCCATTTGCGTAAATCTATGCTCATGATGTTGATCACTGGATTGTCGGGTCAAAACTCGATTATTTGCAGATCGCCGCCATATAGCTCGAATATTGCTGAGTACGGCGTTGAACAAAAACAAAAAAATATTTATAAGGCAGAAAGCTCGATCATGGACAAGCATAGCGGCTTGACTGTGGACCGAGCTGTAGGCTGAGAGCTTTAAACCCGAATGCGGGCCATACAAAACAGTGATCGATGCCATGAGCACGCAGTCATCTAAGTCGGGCTACTTTATTAACTTAGTCACCTCTGACAAGCATCAATTTTTTATTCTAACCCGGAATCCCCAGTACACTTATCAGACGAAAAACATAATGACCAAACTAGATCCTTGTGATCAACGCACATGACAAAATATTGTTAATTATTTATTTGTATATTGCAGTTGAACACCTTAACGCCAATCGTTCGTTATACGGTAACGGCATACTTACATCTTTTCCCTTGGAGTCTTGTAAATCTTGTCTTCAAAGCTGAAACACAAAGGGGAATTCCTAGTTAAATTTACACGCATTTGTATCAGATTAAGCACCTGTGCTTTTCTAACATTTCTAAGTGCTCGTTCTATTTTCTCTCACATGAAAGTCCACGTGCGTTTAACCACGTCTATCTGGACGCCAATGATAAACACGAATCGCTTGCTTTTATTTGAGGTTTGCTTGTTGGCGCAGAACATTCCACTTAAAAGTCACACAGGTAGATCTGACTGAAGATATTAGTGGGCTTTGTGGTGGTATTTAAAGAACATCTCTGATCAATCCCTGAAACGTGAACAGTTCTGTTTGGAATCCTAGAAGGACAGTGTCTCGTTGTTGCATGGGGCGACAGAACGACAACGCGACATATATTGACCTTGAAAACTATCGCTATGTCGCATTGTCGTTTTTTGGTTGAATAAAAAAGTATTATTCAAAGCACGACAATCCGACAAATGGCCAAAATATCGCGTTGTCGCATTGTTTGGTTAATTTTGGTTAATTTTGCCAGTTTTTCGTGCTTTTTGTAAGTGCGACAACGCGTCCCGTCTAGGATTCCATAGTTCTGTGAGGTGAGGTGAGGTGAGGTGAGGTGAGGTGAGGTGAGGGGAAATTATCTGTAACGTCGTGCTTAAGAATATTTCGCTTATATGACGACGTGCATGCGTGTGTATGTGTATGTGTGGCTGCTTGTACTAGCCCAGACTGAAGCTGGTTTTATAGTGCTAGCCCACTGAGATACCATGCCGCAGTGAAGCATGACCAGTCCTTGTTGTACCCATTAATGCCGAGCGCCAGGCAGGGACCAACAAGTACCATATTTTAACGTCTTTTGGTATGACGCGGTCGGGGATCGAACCCGCGACCTTCCGCTCTCCGGGCGGACGCTCTAACCACTACACCACGGAGGCGGTCCCATAGTTCTGTGACACGTATAGACCTCAGTAGACTGAGCAGGGTTTAATGACACTCGAACGAGAGGTACAGCATTGGGCTAGCCCAGTGGTTAAACGTTTGCCTGTTTCGCCGAAGGACCAGGTTCGAATAGTCCACTGTGTGAAGTTCATCATGGGTGCCCTTGCTGTACGCGTTAATATTGCTTGAAACGACGTAAACCACTACTCACTCACTCACTGATGTTTTGATTGATGTTGACAACATAGATCAAGTTTGAGCAAGCATCTGACGTTGTCAGTATCACAGCCTATGAAGGTGAGGTGAGGTGAGATTGGGTTTAACGTCGTGCTTAAGAATATTTCGCTCATATGACGACGTGCATGTGTGTGTATGTGTATGTGTGGCTGCTTGTACTAGCCCAGACTGAAGCTGGTTTTATAGTGCTAGCCCACTGAGATACCATGCCGCAGTGAAGCATGAATACCCCACTCAGACAAATTATACTGACTCCGAGCCGACCAGTCCTTGACCATTAATGCCGAGCGCCAGGCAGGGTCCAACAAGTACCATATTTTATCGTCCCTATGAAGGTGGATCAATGGCATCACTTCCAGACTTTTCATAGCAACTAATGACGACAGGGTGTTCGTAGGTTTTTTCCATCCACTACAGTTTGCAGAGTTTCCATTTGAATATTTTCAACTTCGATACTTTCTTGTCTGAGTGAGTGAGTTTAGTTTTACGCCGCACTCTGCAATATTCAAGTTATACGGCGGCGGTCTGTAAATAATCGAGTCTGGACCAGATATTCCAGTGATCAACAGCATGAGCATCGATCTACGCAATTGTGAAACGATGACATGTGTCAACCAAGTCAGCGAGCCTGACCACCCGATCCCGCTTTCTGGTTTGAGATTAATATGGCTAATGTATTAGCTGAGTTGTGCTGAAAAAAATGCATCTTGTTTTCCGCTATAGTGTAAAGGTCTATGGCGTTACTGGGGCGGCTTTCCACCTGTATCCAACTGACACGCTGTGATACAACTGAAATACCTTCCAAAAACAAGTCACGTCCTCACAGCACACATCCGGGTACTTACAGTGGAACTGTTTTTGGAGTTTGTTGACATCCTTCCCTACGGTGTAGCTCCGCTGCAGACGCCGGGCCGTCTCCTTCATCGTCTTGTTCCAGTTCTCCTGGAGGTCCCCGACGTCGCTCTTCAGCGTCTTCACGTCTCCCGTCAACCCCGTCAGCTTCTGTCGCGTCTGCTTCTGCACCTTCATGGCAACCAGTACTGACCGGTTCAGACTGGATAGCTCGTGAAAACTTCTATGGAAGGCTGAAAGCACAAAACGTAATTCGAGATATTTATAAGTCGAAAATATAGGTACGTCTGTGACCACTGTGACTAAGATAAATATTATGACAAACAAGAGTCATCAGAAGATGACATATCCCCCCGGCCCCCACATCTTTGAAAGAACAAATCATCTGACAGTTACTTAAAGTCCAGTTTGATTTTAGACTAAGTGCAAATCGTTCCATGGAAATCATGGAAAAAATAAATGACAAATATCTGCAAATAGCAAAAGGCACCACTTCAAGATCTGCCTCACATATCTGCCAAGTTTTACTGAAAGATATTAAGAAGTTTTTGAGTTGTGCTCCGGAAACGAAACCTACACCGCCCTTTTGAGACTAAGTCTGAATCGTTTCCACGGTAACCAAGAAAAATAAAAATGCCAAAAATCTGCAAATAGCAAAAGGCACCACCTTAGGTTATGCTTGATATATCTACCAAGTCTTGTTGAAAAATATTGAACGGTTCTTGAGTTATGCTCAGGAAACGAAGCCCACCCTCGATTTTGGGACTAAGTCCGAATCGTTTCCATGGAAACCGGGGAAAATAAAAATGCCAAAAATCTGCAAATAGCAAAAGGTACCACTTAAGGTTCTGTTTGACATGTCTACCAATTTTTGTTGAAAAATATCGAACGGTCTTTGAGTTATGCTCCGGAAACAAAATAATTACGGACGGACGGACGGACGGACGAGGCGACGACTATATCCCACCGCATTACATGCCGGTGGGATAAAAACGATGATAATATACACATGTTGGGGAAACACATTGGAAAGTAAATAAATATGGGCACAGGCACCATTCATTCGCGATCGTTCGTTCATTCATTCGGCCGGGGGACGAGCCCTGAAGACAATAATTACGTCATTGTTAATACTGATCACTTGCCAGATGCTCAAGGGTCATTTCGGTATACTGGCACGTATCAACGGTCTCTGATACTTTCAAATACATACTATATTAAATAAACAAAGTAGTCCAATAAGTGCTCGTACTCTCTGCTCAGTCGTGCATGTGACATTCGTTACGAAGTCTAGATGTAGACAGAAAATTGTCAGGCCATTACTAGTAATACATACATACATACAAATACTTGTATAGCGCCAATATCCGTAAACCGCTCGAAGGCGCTTTGGCTCTAAGATGGTATTGATATCACATAGAGTTCAAATGCTTCAATGAAGAGACAAGTCTTTAGATTTGATTTAAAAACAGCTAAATCTGGTTGTGTTCTGAGGTGAGATGGGAGATTGTTCCGGAGATGAGGGCCAGCCATCTTTAGTGACCTGTCACCATATGGTTTTGTCCTAGTCACAGGAATTGTCAAAAGACACTGGTCATTTGATTGGAGGGAACGTGCAGGCGTATAACGGTGGAACAGATCACAGAGGTACTGAGGAGCTAGACCATGGATACTTTTGACACATAGGAGTAGAGTTTTATATTTTATGCGGTAGTGGACGGGAAGCCAATGAAGTGAGTGAAGAACGGGAGTAATGTGGTCCGATTTCTTTGACTGAGAGATCACTCTGGCCGCAGTATTCTGTACCTTCTGAAGTTTGTGTATAAGATGATTTGGGAGACTCAAAAGACGAGCATTACAGTAGTCGAGACGAGATGTTACATATGCCTGAATAAGAGATACTGTAGTCTTGACGTCCAGGTATCGTCGAATCATGCCGATGTTGCGAATGTGGTAGTACGCCCTTCTACAGATGTCACTGATGTGTGGCTCCATGGATAGTGAGGAATCAAAAATAACTCCCAAATTATGCACCTCAAGCTTTGGCTGAATCTCACACTGACCGATGCTGAATTTAGGAAGAGAGATACTGGTTTGGAGACACTTAGGCTGGAAAACTATAAGTTCTGTTTCATCATCATTCAGTTTGAGGTAGTGTGACGACATCCAGTTTTTTATGCAGCTGACACACTCTTCAATGGTGAGAAATGAAGACACAGCTGATGAGGAAAGTAAGGGTTTGAAATGTGTAAATCTGAGTGTCGTCAGCATATATATGCAGTCCAAGGTTGAAGGATCTGACGATATCACCTAGAGGAGATGTGTAAATGGTGAAGAGTACAGGTCCAAGAACCGATCCTTGGGGCACGCCATAAGCAAGATTCTTAGGACTGGAGATGTGACCATCAATGATCACCGATTGATAACTACCTGATATGTAGGATTCAAACCACTGAAGAGCAGTTCCTCTAATACCCATCCTGGTCTCAGGTGTGGGCATCAGAATAGTATGGTCGATAGTATCGAAGGCACTACTCAGATCGAGTAGAACCAATACTGCAGCACCATCTTTGTCAACAGCTCTCAGGATGTCACTGTGCACTTTAACGAATGCGGTTTTCGTGGAGTGGAAATTCCGGTATGCTGATTGCATAACTTCGAAACACCCATTTAAGGTCATGTGTCCCTTGGGTCATGTTGTGACCACATATTCAATCAACTTTGAGGTGACAGACCGATAATTTTTTAAGAGCTCTTGATCTAAACTTTTCTTCTTCAGGAGTGAACTCCAATTTTCAACGTATCCGGCATCACACCCTCCTGAAGAGATTTATTGACAACAGAGGTCAATAGAGGAGCAAAGGTATCCAGAGAGGTTTTAAGAAGCCATGTAGTGATTTTAGTTACTCAGTTACCCAGCAATATTCCAGCTATATGGCGGAAGAAGCTATGTAGCTATAGGGTCAAGAATACATGACTTTGTCGGTGACTTAGAAACAAGTTTCACAATCTCTGCTTCTGTTGCTGGTCGGAAATGGGATAGGCATGGAAATGCAGCTGCTGGTTGAGGGTCACTGTGTGGAAGGTGATCATGTGATAGTGATTCTCTGATTGTGAAAATATTCTGAGAAAAGAAGTATGAGAACTTGAGAACTTAGGGATGTATGAGATGGAAGAGACAAGGAATTATTCTTAAACAGAAGCCTGTTAGCTATTCTTAACAGTAATGCCTCTCGGGGCTAAAATCAGGGACATCTGCGCCGCACTGTTAATACTACGGGTCAGTCAATTCCATTGCCAAAAACGAAATATATTTGCCAGATTTCTGGTGTCACATGCAGCAGGTTCTGTTATCTGTGCTTGACACTGTATTAAACAGCCAAGGTCATTTCCTGGTTGTGTTAGTTGTGTATTCTTAGTGGGATAAAAACAGAAACTGCTCCACCCTCAGCAGTTTTGTTTGCATTAGAAATAAGTCCTACATCTCTCCAACCTGGCTTTATGATTGGTCAGCATATTAACAAAACCTCATGCGCCAGTGTGGACATCAAATTTTGTATTCTTATTTCGATGAAAACTTTTTGTAGTTGAAAGTATGCCTCCCCTAAGCGTCCATCTTACGACTTCATCTTACCCGGGGCGGTAGCCTAAGGGTTAAAGCATCCGCTCGTCACGCTAAAGACCCGGGTTCGATTCCCTACATGAGTACAATGTGTGAACCAATTTCTCGGTCCCCCGCCGTGATATTGCTGGAATATTGCTAAAATCTGCGCAAAAAACGTGCTCACTCACCCACTCACTCACTAACTAATCTTACCCTCGAGTGACCTGTCGATACTGGAGACGTTCAGGACGAGTTTCTGCAGCCTGGAGTCCTGATCCTTGATGTCTGTGTCAGCCCTGCGTACGGAGGTCATCAGCTCGGTCCGGGACTGGCTCAGACCGGCCTTGACATCAGACATCTCCTGTCTCACTGCCTGTAGGTCCACCATGACCTGCTGGAACTCCTGCAATAATAGTCATATTAGGAAAGTCTGAAGTAGTGCCTGCATGAAGCATTTGTCACTTGACGAAACACACGAACATTGGTTTGTTTGTTTTTTGTTTGTTGTTTAATACCACACTCAGCAATATTCCAGCTATATGGCGGCGGTCTGTAAATAATCGAGCCTGGACCAAACAATCCAGTCATCAACAGCATGAGCATCGATGTACGCAATTGGGACACGATGACATGTGTCACCCAAGTCTGGGAGCCTGACCACCCGATCCCGTTAGTCGCATCTTACAACAAGCATGTGTTACTGAAGATCAGTTGTAACCCGGATCTTCACGGGTAACACGAATATTGGTATGGTGCTGGCAAACCTACATATATAAGCATAAACAGGATACTCAGAGATTCGACCATGGATGCTCGGCCCTAGGGGACGCAACTCTGTACAGCGAATTGCGGTGCCTTTGGAGACTTGACCACCTCTGCCCCGCCGTCGGAGAAATGTCCGTTATTCTTACCTCTTCCTCTATATGTACATAAGTAAATAGTCTAATTATCTCTGGGCTAGTACATACACATACCCACGCATGCACGTCGTCATATGAGCGAAATATTCTCAAGCACGACGTTAAACCAAATTTCACCTCACCTCACCTCACCTCACCTCACCTCACCTCACCTCACACAGATCGTGATCACAAAAAGGTCATCTCTACAGAGCTCCATTTGACGTTTCCTGTGCTGCTGGTCGTCACGATATGGCTGAAATATTGCCGATGTGACGTTAAATTTTAACTCACTCACTCACTCCTGTGCTGCTGGAGAACTGATCCTGATGTGCAAGAAACAATACTAAAGGACAATGTTATAAAAATGAATAATTATAGACTTTCATATATTTAATAATAATAATAATAATAATAATGAAGGCAATGTACTGCTGGACGGTACAGCGATGGGAGTAAACCAGGTGAAGTCCTTCACCAAGTCTGCCCAGAGTCGGTCTTTTGTGGAGAAGCTTTCTGAGAAGCCATTGCATCGTGTGTACATGCAGTGTGTTGAACAGAATAGCAATCCCACTGACTCCTTCGCCTGGATGAAGTCGGCTGGTCTTAAATGTGAAACTGAGGGCTTCCTATTTGCTGCTCAGGACCAGTCACTTCCCACTCGCAATCGCCTAAATGTGATTCTTAAAGAGAATATTAACATGAAATGTCGACTTTGCAATGAATTTACAGAGACTGTCCAACACCTTGTCAGTGAATGCCCTTCCTTGGCACAAACAACATATCTTAAACGACATGATGGCATGGCTCGCTGTTTTACTACTGTCTCCGACATGCCTGTGGCTTTGACTCGAGGTCCATCCATGGTACGACCCTGAACATGTCCAGGGCGTCATGGAAAATGATGCTTTCAAACTTCTCTGAATAGGCCCATATACAGCCTCAGAAGAATTCCAGCCAACAAACCTGATCTTGTCCTTTTGATAAAGCCAATGAATTTATTTATATCATTGAATTTTCTGTCCCTTTTGACACCAATGTGATTGGCAAGATTAAGGAAAAGCATGATAAATATGCGGACCCTCGCCTTTGAAATGTCTCGCTTGCATCCCAAGTACACTCGTCGTCAGGCTCCCCATTGTTCTCGGTGCCCTTGGTTTGGTACCTCCTAATCTCTGGCGCAGATCAGGAGAGTGCCCAGGTTCTCCACCGGGAGTACAGCCCTTCTGACACTCTGGGTAATGCAGAAGGCTGCAGTGTTGGGGAGCCTTCATATTCTCCGGAAAGTTCTTGGTGGGTTCGACTAGGCAGCGTTTCCTGGGAGAAGTCCCATTCGCTGTCTGGGCTGCGTGTAGAGGGGGCAAGGGCCCTGAGCTGATGATGAGCCTTACCAGCCTGACTGTGCCAGGATCACCCGAACCCTCTCTGCTGCATACAATTTTTAATCTGTAAATAATAATGTGGGTATTTATATAGCGCTACATCCAGGTACTAATACCCGGTCATGGCGCTACAATACTATAGGAGAAAAGAAAATTTGACATTAACCTTGATTATGTGCACAACCATGTGACCTATTCGTGGGTGGCGATTGCCCACTAAAGACTGACCTCTCTCAACTTGTCCTGCTCCGAAGCCACCACTAGGATAGAATCCTGGATCATTTTCATCGACTTCTGCATCTGCTGGGGGTTGGGGGTGAACTGACCATCGAAGTTTGTACCCATCTCAGGGCCGGGTACCACGTAATGGTTGGAGGACGTCAGGGTGACGTCGTTAGGCAGGGAGTTCAGCTTAAAGCCCCCCTCTTTGTCTGGAAAACACCACAATACATGATTAGCAAACGAGTGAGTTCGTGAGTGCGTTGGTAAGTGAGTGAGTGATAGAGAACGACAAGACTGGTTATCATCCGAGGAAATCTGAATGCCCAGCGATACAGGGATGAAGAATTGTTTGTGGTGCCCTTTACTCGTGAACAGCCGAGATGAGTCATTTTGCAGCACGACAACGCAAGGCCTCACACCGCCAGAATTGTTCCAGAATACCTACACAACGTTAACGTCAACGTATTGCCTTGACCAACGCGTTCCCCAGACATGAACCCCATTGTACATCTCTGGGATCATCTTGATCGTCAGCTGAGACAGCGTGTACCACCTCCAGCGAACCGACAGGAACGTGAACAGACTCTCTTGGACTTATGGAACAGGACGCCAACTGACGCCAATAAGGAGACGTGTGTTGGCGTGTATGGATGCCCAGGGTGGTCACACTCGCTATTAATGACGTGTCCCCTGACTCCTGTCTCATTATGTGACTCCTTATGCAATTTTTGAATGAACTCTGATTTGTTTAATTATTAATTTTAACCATATGACTCTTTCTTAATAAATTACGACAAATACAATTACGATGAATTTTCAGTCAATTTATTGGAAAATGATTTCTGTTTGTAAAATAATTACTATAAATCGTCTTTGTTTCTATTTCTTTTATTCGTCAAGTGAAGTCGGTGACAACTTCCTTTTACCTTTTTAGTATATATATATTTTTTTTTTGAAAGCAAAGCGTTCCTGTGGTCTGCTCCAGATTAAAGGTGAAGATCAATACCACACGTATTGCCTCTGGAGTCTTATTTATACACTACGGATCAAACTTTGGAACTTATGACTTGAATGGGGGTGATGAGGTAGCCTCGTGGTTAAAGCGTTCGCTCGTCACGCCCAAGATCCGGGTTCGATTCCCAACATGGGTACAAGGTAAGGTGAGGTGAAATTGGGTTTAACGTCGTGCTTGAGAATATTTCGCTCATATGACGACGTGCATGCGTGTGTATGTGTATGTGCGGCTAATTGTACTAGCCCAGACTGAAGCTGGTTTTATAGTGCTAGCCCACTGAGATACCATGCCGTAGTGAAGCATGAATACCCCACTCAGACACATTATACTGACTCCGAGCCGACCAGTCCTTGTTGTTCCCATTGATGCCGAGCGCCAGGCAGGGACCAACAAGTACCATATTTTAACGTCTTTTGGCATGACGCGGTCGGGGATCGAACCCGCGACCTTCCGCTCTCCGGGCGGACGCTCTAACCACTACACCACGGAGGCGGTCACATGGGTACAATGTGCAGCCCAATTCTGGTGTCCTCCGCCGTGATATTGCTGGAATATTGCTAAAAGCGGAGTAAAACTAAACTCAGTGAACTCACTCACTTAAATGGAGCAATATTTGCAACGTCTAACAACAACATTTATCACAACATCATGCTTGAACAGAACGAGATGAAACACTCATAACCAGTAATCTAACGATGCTGAGAACAAGCTAAAAAATGTCCCTCCCCGAGACAGTGTTGGAATCTGCTCCTTTTATCAACAGAGAATTCCGTACAACAACATGGAAGCGAATAATAACATATATACGGTAAAATACCGTTACTATTCATTTTGAAAAGCCAGACGTCTTGTGAAGGGTAGACTAACAACTAGTCTCTGAAATGAACATATTTTACTGAAAAAAGTTCATAGTAAAAAAAAAAATATAATGAAAAGGAACCCTGAGACTTTCTTTCTGAAGCTGAGGAAATCTAGACTTGCCACATTTTCTAGACTTGTGCGGGCTTTCTTGGATATATTTGCTTCAGGGTCTGTACGACAGACTATGTGAAACGTATAACCCTAACATCTTACCCTAGTCGGCAAAGACTTTGGATTGGCTAAGAAACACTGGGGAAGTGCTGTGGGCCCATTTCGTAACACCATGTTTACAGACGAATCAATGTTTTGAATCCTTGTCACAGATGATAGCAAACGTTTGTTGACGAGGTAGCGCCGAAAGCTATGCCAGGACGTTGGACTGGCACATTAAGTCCCCGATATGTCAAACAGAGCACCTTTCGGGATCTTTTTCGGACGAGGAGTATTCGCCAGAGACCCAGCCCTAGCCACCGTAGCCCAGCTCGGGGCAGCCCTCTATGACATGTGTATATATACAGGCAAGCATGTGCCTACTGCTGCAGACAAGCCCTTCAGTAATGACTCGTGAACATATGTTAGTAGAAATGTCTTGCAAAACATTTCGTGTCCCCAAGAAAAAATGAACTGTAAATAGTCTTGAAGTTAATTGGAACCATGGTTGGGAGGAACACTTGAACAGGCTGAGGGTTACCCTGTTTCGTATAATTCATGGGAATTCCATTGCAAATATTCCTAAAAAAAGAACAAAAACCTCCGGGGGAAACTTGTACGCTGGTTCATGATTACATCTATATACATATAAACGTCAAAACCATAGCCCATTGAAATCTGAAAGCAGTGTCAGTTGAACGATTCCGACTGTATCGTGACCGTATGTTTATACATCAATTTCAGTTTGTAAATCACTATAAAATAGGGATGATACAAGGTGATATCCTGTACCCCAATGGCACCCGTCAAAAACACATGCAAGAAGTACAAGTCAAAATAAGGAATTTCACCAGACATCATTTTCGGCACAGATGCTTTTATTTATTTTACATGTATGTTGTTAACATTGGTTCTGTTTCTTTTCCCATCTCTCATTCCTACAACAGATGTTCCCCGACCGCGTCATACCAAAAGACGTTAAAATATGGTACTTGTTGGTCCCTGCCTGGCGCTCGGCATTAATGGGTACAACAAGGACTGGTCGGCTCGGAGTCAGTATACTGTGTCTGAGTGGGGTATTCATGCTTCACTGCGGTGTGGTATCTCAGTGGGCTAGCATTATAAAACCAGCTTAAGTCTGGGCTAGTACAAGCAGCCGCACATACACATACACACCGCATGCACGTCGTCATATGAGCGAAATATTCTCAAGCACGACGTTAAACCCAATTTCACCTCACCTCACCTATAACAGATCGTAAAAGGTAAACGAAGACTGGGAAGAGAATAAGAAACTGCAACAACACGACCCTACCATTTACTTTGTGCCGAAAAGAGCCTTAACAAATGTATTGATTTCCAAAACAGAAACGTTTAGATACCTATCAAGTGTGGAGTATATATGAGATGTTTTTAAATATGTGTTTCTAGTTATGAAAAGAAAACCACGAACAAGTATTCTTTGAGTGTTGACAAAGCACAAGTATATTTAATGTTTCTAACTTCAGATATAATTTTTAATTGAATATCCAAGATAAAATCAACTGTGGGTATATTTTCCTTTGCCCGTTTAGTTTATCTGGGTATCGTTCTTTAAAGACATGGTATTGGGTGTGTAACTCCTGCTATTTAATTTCCGATACGTACAACTAAGAAAGGTCGTCTCGCTAAGTTTGCTTTGTGGATACGGACCCTGGTCTTTCATTCGATTAAGACTTTCATTGTTACACACATACGTTGTCCATGTTATAAGTAGGCAATACCAAAATCAACGTTATCACTTTAATGGTTACAACTTCACCCTTATTATTGCAGTTACATGATGTAAATTACGTTAAACATTTCTAGTTTGCTGAAAAATGCAGTACATTGTTAATGAGAAATCAAGTATGGTTGGTCGGTCGGTTGGTTGGTTGGTCGGTCGGTCGGTCGGTCGGACGGTTGGTTGGTTGGTCGGTCGGTTGGTTGGTCGGTCGGTCGGTTGGTGGTTATTTAACGCAGTATTCCAGCTATATGACGGTCTTGTAAATGATCGTGCCTGTATCAGACAATCCAGAGATCAACAGCATGAACATCGATCCACACAACTCGGATAAGATGACATGCTGTCAACCAAGTCAGCGAGTCTGACCACCCGATCCCGTTAGTCGCCTCTTAGACAAGCATGGGTTGCTGAAGACGAATTCTAACCCGGATCTTCACGGGTCTAAATCAAGTATGGAGGTAAAAATACTTCTTGGTGTAATTTTCAAGGTGACAATGACTGGTATTACTTGTATGAATTAGTAGTGAGTGAGTATGGTTTTACGCCGCAGTTCAGCAATATTCCAGCATTATCACGGCGAGGGACACCAGAAATGGGCTTCACACATTGTACCCATGTGGGGAATCGAACCCGGGTCTTCGACGTGACGAGCAGGCGCTTTAACCAACAAGGCTACCCACAGCCCCGGTATGAATTAGTGTCAGTAACGATTATTTAAAAGTTAGCCGGCAATAAGTAATAAGAACTAAATTTATGATTGATAATATATATGTTACTACTTCGTTAGCTAAACAAATAGGACCAAACGTTATGATGTCTTTTAGTGATGAGGGGCGGTGGGGGGAGTCTTGTGGTTAACATCACACCGAAGACCCGGGTTCGATTCCCCACATGGGTACAATGTGTGAAGCCCATTTCAGGTGTCCTCTTCCGTGTTATTGCTGGAATATTGCTAAAAGCGGCGTAAAACTAAACTCACACTCACACTTTTATGATGATACTACTACTACTATATAAAATATGTATTTAATAATAAAAGGAAGCAAGTTGTTATCTTTAGTTTTGTGGATCCTTGAAGATCCGGGCTAGAATTGAACTTTGGTAACCCATGCTTGTATCGGGTGGTCAGGCTCGCTGACTTGGTTGACACATGTCATCGGTTCCCAATTGCGTAGATCGACGCTCATGCTGTTGATCACTGGATTGTCTGGTCCAGATTCGATTATTTACAGACCACCGCCATATAGCTGGAATATTGCTGAGTGTGGTGTAAAACTAAACTCACTCACTCACTCATTAGTTTTGTGACTGTATAAATTATAGGTAAATATTTGATAATATTGTTAGGAAAAGAATTGATTGCTAACATTGTATTTTAATACTATAGTAAAAATGATAATAACACAAAAATAATGTTA